TAATAAGTATTTTTTACTTGGATTATAATGTCTCATTAAATATTTTCATAACATTTACTATACTATTTTCAATAAATATTTTATAATATTTATAATAAATGTTCATGATCTGTGCAATCTAAGACTACAAAAATATCTAAAATAAATCTTATAAATATTTATGAATATTTTACAAACATTTTATAAATATTGTCTGCGCTGTCTGAGAAGTAGCAAGCTGACATTAAAATGATTGTTAAAATAACAATGTCAATTTGCTATCTGGACCTTATAATTTCTATACCGATTGAGCTTTTTTTTTCCAGAAAAGGAATATATTTTTAAATCTCACATATATTGTCAAATAAATATTTATTCAGGACGTTCTTAAATATAGGACTATAAATTATAAAAGATTAAAAACTTAAAATTGGATTAATTTAATTTAAATGTATTTCATTTAATTTTAAATTATAAATCTTAATTTTTATGAAAGAATTATGAAAGACATATTTATTGCAATATGAATCTATTTTATCACGTGGGACATTCCTGAAGCTATCTCGAAGCTATCTATAATATAATAACATAACACACACATATATATATATATCTACGAAGCTACCATCAGCCTAGACGTTCACAATCACAACAGGAATGGTAAATTGAGAATCTCGAATCGCATTAAATCTAACGCTAGTTTAATAATAATATAAACCTTTATAGAAATTTAATATTATTGATCATCAATTAATTATTTATTTTTGAGTATTAAAAGCATTATTAACATTACTTTTAATATTTCAAATGTAATTAATTGACCAGTACTAGGATCACATTTATAAGAGTAGAAATAGTTTTTCTGAATTGTGTGGCAAACTATTAAAACAATTATAGTCGAAATCCATCCCGAAGGTAGTTCTTTCTCTATTTTCTCATTTTCCTACCAAACATAGGATAGCTAATTAATGCTTGTTCATAAATCGAGAGCTACTAATCGTCAAGCGCAGCAACACGGTATTCTTTGTTAAATACACGATTCGTCGATTTTTTTCATACAGGTGTTTTGCGTGAACCAATTATTTCTACCAATGTAGTTTAATTTTAATTTCAGTTTAACTAACGCTTTTTCTACTTCTAAGAATTAGAAAAAGATAAAGAGTAAATTGAACTGAGATCAAAGTCAATCTACAATGAGAAGAAACAGACATTATAGCTACTCCAAATTGACGTCAAGTCTGTCCCATCTGTAATGCGTGATCTATAATGCAATAATGGATGGAGACTAAGGGTAAAAAATTGACCAATCACAGTCGAATGTTAGAAGAATAATCGACTGCAATTGGTCAATTTCTTACTCTTACAGCCTCATCCATTACTGTTATGTTGATTCCACAATGATAATCGATAGAAGTTCTAAGTCTTATTAGTGAAATTGACCAATGACCAACTTGTATGACTAACACTGATTGGCCAACTTCACCGACTAAAACTTTCGACTACAGACTCATTGTAGAATCAGCATTATATATATTACCATTAGACCACGCATAACTGTTCATAAGCCGGGCCTTGGCACTCTTTGCCATTCTTCGCGTGGAACGAAGACAGATGTACGGTCGAACAACGGAATGAGAGTAGGAGGGAAGATGAGTAGGTGTGAGGGGCGCAACTACCGAGAACAGACCTATCGCAACGAGCGTCTGCTGGGTCAGCTGTCGAGGCAATCGCTCGCGTATCGACACGTTGCAATTTCTTTACTATTCTTCACGGAGATTGCGTCGCGAATTGCGTGTTACGTTCGAACACCAGTTGCTATTTCAATCTCTCGCTCCGGAATTTCGATTGACTCGAGCAGAAAGGAAGAAGCCTGAAAATCGCAATTTTTCAACTTTTCTTCCGAGCCGATTTCGGAAACGGATCGCGAAACGAGATCAAGGGTATGTATTATGAAATTATTCAATTATTCCTTAGATTTCGATTGTATCTTGTAAAAAAGTCAGAATAATTCCGATCGGAATCTATTCCGAATCTATTCCGAATCTCCGACTCCGTTTCATGGATAGCTCGGATAGCCATGTGACGAGCCGAGTACGAGCGACACCATCCACCTTCCTTATCGACGATCGCGTCTTGACAATTGTGAATTGCGTCGCTCGGCTGTTTGCGTTAACGCGGCAAAAGCCGCGGGCCGTGAATGGCGTGAAATGCGTGAATCTGCATTCAACGGGACACGGGCCGCCAGGCGTGCGTGACACGCGGCTCGCAAGTCGCACGCTCGCAGGCGCGGCATCGCCGAGTGACGTCGACCGGTCGGATCGTGGATTCCGATTACTCCGATAAGTTCGGCTCGTCCGCCGACGCGAGAATGCAGCAGAAAACGCTCCCGCTATCTATCCGCGATAGTGTAATTGCCGTTGCGGTTTGTTTCTATTTTAAACTGGAGTCAGTTTTGACTTACGTTTCCACGAGCGACGACATTCCGCTCACGCGAAACGGCCGCGATCATTCGATCGAAACGCTTATACATTTTCTTGCATAACGTACTGATGACCACGAATCTGTTATAATAGATCCCACGTTGAAGGATCTCGAACGGCAATTTTGACAGATGTATTCATTTGCTTGCAGTTAAATCAAGGCTGCATGGCAACACCGTTGAAAACGTAAGAAAATGTCCAGGAAGCGCACCAGGGAGGAAACTATGCTGACTACTGTGCCCCACCAGAATAGCGTTAATGGAGAAAGTGCGTCCTGCTCCAGGGAAAATTCTCCGTTTCACGCTGTAAGCATTGATAATAATTTTTACGTAAAATAAATGAATAAATCGGCATTATTATTTAATCATGCAAACGTATCATATTATGAGCTACCTTAATAGGAACCTTTTGCAAAACTTTTCCAGAAAAATTTATTTTTTCTCAAGATTGTGGCAAATGACTATCATCAGATCATACATACATTTAAATGTAAATTTAAATGTTAAATTTTATATATATCAGCTGTAGATTAACATATATATACATGTATGTCTATCTTACTTAAATATTTAGTTTCTTGCGAGACTATAATACATTGGAATGCATAACATAGACACATGTATATATTTGTAAACTCTATATAGTTTATTATTATATACAATATTGACAACAAGCTAATCATTAATGTGTTGTCTAGAGATAATGCATAATATTGCTTTTAACTGATAATAGTCTGGCGTGATTCTAGATTGGCATATCTAATGTGATAAAAACTCGGAAATATTTTATTGCTTCTACAGTCTTGTTTGGTTCATTAAAAGTGAATTTACGTTGAATTTAACTCACGTTGAATTTAAACATATTGAGAACAATTCGACATTTATAAAACTTGTACATATTTTGTACATATTTTTAGTTACATAATAAAACTGAAAGTGGCTAATGCAATTGTGCTGTCTTTTTACTTTTAAACATCAAATGTTTTTAATATAAATTATTGATTATACAACATTTGAGATAGTATAAAAATTTTGTTTCTATTATAAATAGAACTGTATTAAACAAACAATGACTTGGGGATCCAAGCAGAATTGTAACGGAGGTAGCAGTACAAATTTAATGTTTCTAAAGGACTATAATGATCAAATTTCTGTTTGTCAGGAAAGATTACCAGTAAGTTTTATTTTTTTTACACGAATTATATGTTAAAAAATAATATTATTATGTGATATAATAAGTTGAATTAATAAATGATAAGGACAATGTAATCATGATTAGCGTAAAAATTAAGAAATGTGACAAATTTTTTTTTCTTTTAACATCACATACATCATTATTTATGTAATTTTACACAAATCGTCAAATCTTTATTTTCTATTGAGCAGATATTTATTATTTTGTTAATATATTATCTTCTCATTTATTTTAGTCAATCTGTAAAGAAGCACCTTTTAGTGACGATTCAGATGCTATCGTAGAGAGGAATGCTTGCGATTATAATACGCGAATTACTTTAAAACAAGCAAGAAGTGGCAAAGGTATATTTTATAGATTTTTATTAAAAATATTAAATATAATAAAAATTTTAATATTATAAAAATTTTTATTTTTACATATCACTTAAATCTTCTTTTTTTATAGTTCCTAGAAAAATTAGAGTTTATGCCGACGGTATTTATGATCTCTTCCACCAAGGACATGCACGGCAACTTTTACAGGCTAAAAATATTTTTCCAAATGTTTATCTTATTGTTGGAGGTAACTATGCAAAATTGTTAAGGAAAACTGTATTATAGCACATTTATTATACTTTGTTCTTGTTCATCATTAAAATAAAATATAAATATACTTATGTGTGGTCATCAATCAAATAATTTCTTTTACAGTATGTAATGATGAATTAACACATAGCAAAAAAGGAAGAACTGTAATGACGGATTTGGAAAGGTATGATGCTGTTAAACATTGTAGATACGTAGATGAGGTTGTTCGAGATGCACCCTGGGAACTAGATGATGAATTTATAAAAAAGCATAAGGTACATTCATATTTATACATCTTTAAATTTATATAATCAAGTGCTGTACGTTTTATTTCATAGAAATTGCATGAATTATGTTGTATTACAGATAGACTTTGTTGCTCATGACGATATACCATATGTGACAGATGATTCATCAGACGTTTATGCTAAATTAAAAGCTAAAGGTATGTTTGTAGCCACACAGAGAACAGAAGGGGTTTCCACGTCGGATATAGTTGCGAGGATAGTCAAGGATTATGACATATACGTTAGAAGAAATCTCGCACGGGGGTACAGTGCAAAGGAACTTAATGTGTCTTTTCTCAATGTAAGTGATTATGAATCATTACTTAATAGTATCACTTGTCATACTTACATTATTGAATTTAAATGTTATATGATGAAAAAAATACGCAAAATAGTAATAAATAAAAATTAATTGTAATAATTAGTAAATATTATTATAGTTACAACAAATATGTGTTATAAAAAATAAAATCTTACAGGAGAAAAAGTTTCGCCTACAAAACAAATTTGATGATCTAAAAGATAAAGGGAAACGAGTAATGGAAAATATTGGTGAGAAACGAATGGATATGATAAGCAAATGGGAAGAGAAATCTCGGGATTTTATTGATGCCTTCCTTCTACTCTTCGGCAGAGAAGGCAGATTGGTATGTGCGTGCAAATGTGTGTTTATGGATGCGTGCTTTTCAAATATTCAAATGCGTCCTTTTTCTCAAATCATATGCAAATTATATAAAGATTGGAATTTTTTATTTATATTTGTAGTCAACAATTTGGAATGAAAGTAAAGGACGCTTAATGCAAGCGTTATCTCCACCAGCGAGTCCGAAAAGGGATAGTAGTCCAAGTAGTAGTAATAGCAGCCATGATGAAGATCAAGCAAGGTGGGATTTTTTTGGGATGGGTAAAATAATACCAACCCTGCTTAATTCTTATATCTCATCTATCTCTTACAGTCCACCACCAAAGAAAACAGGACGTTTTGAGTTTTCACAAAATAATCACTATTTAAGTGATGATTATAGTGATGATGAAGAAGAACATCTACACTCCAAATGATAACTAATTAAAAATGCATATTCTTTCTGACCAAAATAAACGTGCAATTTTTATTTATTACCTTGAAAGTTTTTAGATGTATTTTCATACACAAACTGCTGATGATGATATGCTTAATGGATTTTGTATGATATTAACTAACACTATATATTAAACAAAATTACCTGTTGTGATGTGAGAGTTTAGTGTGTTTTTGCAGATTTTATTAATTACATAAAAATGATAATGGATGATACATGTAGATTATCTGAGCCATGTATTACTCAAATTTTTTTTTTAGTGTTCTTGCTTTTGAGATATCATTACACCGCTTAGTTCCTATGTTACTTAATGCAAATGTATGCGATCATTTATTTTAATTTGGTTTCATAATGGAAAATTATGATTAATATATGTATCCATATTTTTAAAGTAAGCACGAAATGATTAAAGTTACATTTAACATTAGACATATTAATATGTGCTATTATTTTATAATTAATTTTGTACAGATTTTTATAAAATAATATTAGTCAATTATATTAATTACAATTAAATAATTTATTTTTTATCTTTGAACATGCAAAATCAATGATATAAATGAATGCAATTAATATTATGATTATTAAGTTTTATTTCAATTATGAAGACAAAACGGATATTTTTAGGCTCAGAGATTGCAAAATTTCATTGAATTTTATTGTATTTTGTATGCAAATGTAAAAAATAAATGAATATTTAGAAAATGCGGCATTTTAAATATTTTAATACATCGCTTTATCGATCATATAGTTAACCCTTCGTGTGTGGTCCCACCTCTTAAAAATTTCGTAATATTAGGCTCAAAATAAGCGTATTTAACTGATTGTCGTATTCAGTTTTTGTTTCTTGAAATAAAAAAAATTACTAATTAAAATTACTTAAATGTGATTGTGAAAGGTGAATATAATATTTCTAATTATTTTCTCTTTATCCCGAAAAAGTCATACGATCAATAAGAATCATTTGTATAACATGTTGAACTTAAATGATCCTGATTAGTTGTGTGACTTCTGAAATTCCGACTGTCATGGAAATGCATCCTTATACCATTTCCACCAATGTAAACTTTAATTTCGATTCATCTTTTTCTAGTTGTAAAAATTACAAAAAGATATGAAGAATAAATTGAACCGAGATTAAAGTTAATTATTATATTGTTAATTAGTACATTAGTGGAAACGGGTATTGACTTTCACAATTTGAAAATTGAATACTTGAAATTACCATATTCTTTGGAAAATTCTTAAAATTTTGAATAATATAATATTATTCTTTATTATATACATATAAAAGAATTTTATATATATATATATATAATACGCATAGAATTTATAGCTATATTCTAACAATATATACGAAATATATAAGAAA